AATACTCAACTTCATATGGAAAAACAAAAAACCCAGGATAGCTAAAAGACTTGTGTATAATAAAACAACTTCTGGAGGCATCACAATCCCTGACTTCAAGCTCTACTATTAGTGATTTTTATATTGGGTTACTAAATAATAAGTTTCATTGTGACTTTTAAATACTGTCTTCATTTTCAGTAACCAATCCCACTCACCCCTTGTCTCCTCCATCCCCACCCCTCTTGCAGTTTAAACATTTCTGTCCCCAGTACTCCCTCTCTACCCTCATTTTACCAGTACACTACTGTCCTCCTTTCCTCCCTAAAGCCCTGCTCATTTCTAGTTTTCTGGTTTCCAGGGGTACACCAAATTAGACCCACAGAACTAAAGACTCCAGGGTATAAACTACATTTGAGAGATGTGGTGTTTTTCTTTCTGGGCCTGACTGATCTTCCTCTGTATTTTTCCTATTGTATATACTTACCTTTCATAATTCCATTTTGTCACACCTGAATAAACTTCCATGGTATATATATGGAAAACATTCATTATTTAATTAACTGTTGATGGACATCTAGGCTGATTGTGTTTCTTAGCTATTGTGAACAGAACTTCCATAAACATGGTTGTGCAAATGTCTCCAGAGTAGAATATATATTCCTTTGAATATATTACCAGGAGTGGTAAGGCTGGATTATATGGTAGTTCTATTTGTATAGGTAGTTTTTGTTTTGTTTTGTTGTTGTTGTTTTTTGTTTGTTTGTTTGTTTGTTTGTTTTGGTTTTTCAAGACAGGGTTTCTCTGTGTAGTTTTGGTGCCTGTCCTGGATCTCGCTCTATAGACCAGGCTGGCCTTGAACTCACAGAGATATGCCTGGCTCTGCCTCCCAAGTGCTGGGATTAAACTGGGCTATTTCTAGTTCTTAAGAAGTCTCCAGATTGGATTCTACAGTGACTGGACTAGTTTAAACTCTAACATGCTAGTGTATAAGTGTTTCTCTGTCCTCACATACACACCAACATTATGTATCATTTGTTTTTTCTGTTTGATTGTTTGTTTGTTTGAGACAGAGTTTCCTGTGAGTAACCCTGGCTGTCCTGAAACTCTCTCTGTAGACTAGGCTGACATCAAACTCACAGAGATCCGAGTGCCTCTACCTCCTAAATGCTGGGATTAAAGGCCTATACCACCACCGCCTGGCATTCATTAACATTTGTATCTTTGATATTGAACATTCTCAAGGGATAAGATGGAATCATAAGTGATTTAAACTTGCATTTCTCTAATAGCTAAGTGTTTCCTAGCCATGTGTATTTCTTCCTTTGAGAATTCTGTTACTCATATGGCCAATCTTAGAACTGGGTTATTTTCTTGTTATTTAGGTTTTTCAGTTCCATGGGTATTCTAGTTACTAATCTTCTGTCAGATGTTAGCTGGGAAATCATTTCTCACACTCTTGGCTGCATCTTCACTCAACTGAATCTTTGTTATATAGAACTTTTTAAGTGACCTGAAATCTAGTGTATCAATTATTGGATTTGTTTCCTGTGCTGTTAGAGTCTCCATACTTATGCCATCATGTTGATATGTTCTCTAATTTCTCCCTACTTTCACTCTGCCAGTTTCAGGGTAGTGGGTCTCACACTGAGTTCTTGGGTCATTTGGAGTTGACTTTTTAAAGGTAAGACATAAAGCATCTAGTTCAATCCTTCCATATGTTGCCATGTAGGTTTTTCAGTATCATTTGTTGAATAGACTATCTTTTCTCCAAAGAGTATTTGGAAAGGCCAGCTAGTAGTTTTGTGGATTTTATCTAGGTCTTCTATTCTATTCCATTGATCTGTACATATTTTTGCTCTGGCTGTAGTATTAGCTTGAAATCAGATGTGATAAATCTTTCCACAAAATTGTTTTTTGTTCAGAATTACCTTAGACATCTGTGTCTCTTGTGATTTCACGTCTTCCAGTATTTTTCCACTCTATTTGTGAAGAATGTCACTGTCATCTTAATTGGAGCTCCATTGAGTATGTAGCATGCTTTTACCAGTGTGACTTTTCCACATATTTATTCTTCCACACAACAACTATGGCTGGGTGTCTTTGCATCTTCTAAGGCCTTCTTTGATTTATTTCTTTGATGTATATTTTTAAATTTTCCTTACAGAGTCCTTTCATTTCCGTGGTTAGGCTTTTCTGTCCAAAATTGTGGGCAATATTTATTTATTTGGCTATTGTAAACTCATCCATATTTTCACCCTAACATGGACAAGAGAAAACTAAGTAAGGAAACTTCTTGATTGAAGTAACAATACAGTCTTAGTCTAGAGCCCAAAATGCCAAAACCAAACTCTTCTAATCAGTATCTCTGGGGAAGCCCAGCCCTTGACAGCTGTCAAACTGTGGTTCCTGCTCCTGAGCTGCTACAAACAGGCTTCACATGTGGTCAAAGAATAGGCTTTGCTCAGCCTTGACCTGAGTGAGCCACAGGTAGAGAACTGTCCTGCCCCAGCATCAGGCCAGGGTTTGAATCTCACTTCAGCACTTACTCTGCAGATGATCTTAGAAAATGACTTAACTCATTTGAATCTGACCTTCTTCACCTGTAAACTGGAGATCAGAATTAGTTACTGGTAGGGTGATTGAAAAGGTTAAACACTGTTTATACCCATCTCACAATGTGATCCTTAGCTGAAAGGAGCAATGTTGCTATTTTTCTTTATATGAAGCCAACCTCTTGTGAATGTTAATTTTTTTTTGGTTGGGACAGATTAAGAACTATTCCCTTCCATGTGGAAAAGGATTCAGTTACTAAAAGATTGTAATCATGGTCCTCTTGTGTCCTCAATCTTAAATTTTTGTTTTTTTATATTCATGATCACTCATTGTATTCATTAATAGGTCCAGTTTACCTATAAGTCAGGATACATCAAGATGGTCCAGCCAGCATGGAGTATAAGGAATGTCAATCTTCCTTCATACAAATGGAAGCAGGGCTTCCAACACCACAAATTCTGTCCTTTGGATGACTTCACTAACCTGTTAGAGCAGAGTGAATACCGAGTCTTCTCAAACCCTTGGGGCTTATTCGTGAGCTTAAATGCATTAACCCCCCTCACTTGTTGCTAAAATTAACTCACTGTTCCCATGTGTTCAGTCTTGCTTCATATTGGTTCAGACATCAAACCAAGAACACACTTTTGTGGCATGTGAGTGTACAAGGTCAAACAAGGACAAGAAAGTAGCTTTCTACCCTAAACTAAATGTCAAATGATTTAAGCCAGGAATGGACTTGGTTAGTTTACCATAAAGAATTCAGTCTAGGATAAAATTGAGACTGTGGTTATGTGGGTGAAATGTTTATTACACATTCACATGTCTTCTCCCTCAGTGATGATAGGCTTGGTGCCTAGATTCCCTGTGTGAGTAAGGCAATGTTCACCTTCCAGATTATATCAGAATTCCTGTAGTCCATTCTCAAAATCCCTGGCATGTGTGGGAGTTTCACAGAGAGCACTGTCTGAGGGTAACAGGCATCATTTACAGATGCATCATCTCTCCTTTCTTCCAGGGGACCTCAGGCCTGCACGGCCCATGACTGATGAAGCCAACAAAGGTCAGTAACAGGTATTAGAAGCCAGAGGAGCCAATAGTACTCTGCTGGTAGATCATGTGACCCTTGAGAGAAGGACAGTGAGCAAGAGGGAGCCTCACTTTGCAAACCTCACCAGGACAGGTAGGAGAGGTGCATGCCCAGGGCGGAGTTCCTCTCATGCCCCTTGCTACTTCCCATGTTGACAATAACTCCACCTACTCCCAACCTGAACACCCCAGGATGAACCCCTCCTCCTGGTTAGACAGAGTGTCACACTAATAACTGGCTTTGGAAGGTGCAGATATTTTTTCAAATGACCTTCCAGAGAAAGAAGGGATCCAGGGGGGCAAATGAGGTAGGTGAAAAGAACAAGAAGTGGGCAGTCAGCGGGAGAGCCCATGGAGGAGCCTTTCTTCTCTCAGTACCAGTCTCATCTTCACCCCTAGATGCTGTTACCTTGCTGCATTTCCTGGACCAGCATCGGGAGCAGCTGGTGGCCCGAGTGACATCAGTGGACCCTGTCTTGGACAAGCTGCATGGTGCTGTTCTGAGTGAAGAGGAGTATGAGGCAGTGCGGGCTGAAGCCACCAACCAAGGCAAGATGAGGAAGCTCTTCATCCTCAGTCGGTCCTGGACCAGGGCCTACAAAGACCGAGTCTACCGAGCTCTGAAGGAGACCCATCCTCACCTGATAGTGGAACTCCTTGAGAAGTCAAGTGGCATTTCTGTGGGATCTTGACATCTTAGTGTTTGAGGCATGAGCACTTTATTTTGAGTGCTGGCTCTACCTGACCTTCCTTTGGCCCTCAGATTCTCTGTCTATAAACCAGTGGACATCTGAGTTGCATTTCTGATGATACTGTTTCCAGGACACCTCTTGAGGACCCAGATGTTCCCCTCTTGGCCTTCCCCAGCCAGATGTTCATGTGGGATGAACTTCCAGTGGAAACAAGAAGTCTATTCAGGCCTTGTCCAGCCTGCTCTTACGGCAAGAGTGGCCCGGCTTGTGCCCACCTGACCCACCATGATACAAGCAACTAGGAAGCATGGGAATGGAGACAGTGAGATGGTACTTTTCCCTGAAAAGTGAATGTCTTATGAATAGAAAAGGAAGGAGGTTTCTCAAACATTTCCCACCTCTTTTTCCCAAATAATTTTTATATAACTCTGGTTATATAGATATATAAGTATATAAATAAAACATTTTTACTGAAAGTAAATCTTAAAGAAATTTTATACAACTTTTTGTTGAAATATAATTTTACCATTTGTTAAAGATGAAAGCAAATTTGCAATTAATTTGGTTAATTAAATTGATGTATTTGTTTATTCTTGCATAAGAAATTAAATATCTATTGAATGTTTGATGCTATAAGACATAGGAAAACTTCAGTGTTGATCAGAGTTGGTGGATATTTTGCATTTGTTGTGATTTACACAGATGTGCAGTGCATATTCCAGAAGCTGGTGGAAATTATGTCCTAACCCCAAGCCAAAATTAACTTAGCATCTCTTCATGAAACTCAAGTCAGCAACTCAAAACACAATTTTTAAAACTAAATGTTCTCACATAATATAATGCATATACTTACATGCTAAAAAATGAAAATAGGAAAATAATTAAATCTTTATATTCCACAATGAAGCTATCATTCTTCTAAAAGAGCAGAAAATCTTGTATGTACTGGGAAAAGGCTGTAATCACAGCAAACAATAGCCTAGACTCTAAACCAAGGTGTTTCAGAAATATTTGTTGTGATTGTGTATTGTGCTGGCTAATGCCATGCAAAGTACTCGTACTGTGTGCTCAGAACCACAGGTGCACAGAAGTCGCAAGATACAAATCATATGAAACCCCTGAGATTCAGTGTACATTGTGAATTAATCCTGGCCATTGCACAAAACCTTTTCTTCTTGGCAAAATTTTGCAATCCACACTTTTACTTCCATCATCCCATATGGAGGGTAGGAATCACAGTTTAAGAAACTGATGTACAATAATAGAATGGGTGACTGAACAGAAGGCTCAGTGGTTCAGAGCCCTTGCTGCTATTGCAGAGGATCAGAGTTCTACTCCCAGCACCCAGAACAGATATCAAAATCCCCCTGGGTACCTGCCCCGAGGAGATTTCTTCCCAGACTCCTGGGGAAGATGCTACAAGCATCTTGACTGTATGACTGTTTTCACACACAACTGGGGGATGTTATCCAAATACCCCAAATGTATAGGGGAAGTTGTTCCCAATAAATGATCAGTCATACACTGTTAGAAATACTTGGGAAAAGAATCAATTGGGAAGGCTACAATAGCACACAAGAAATTCCCTGCAGGAAACGGATAATACATTCAACAGCCAATATCACCAAGACTCCTTGTGTTTTGGCTTCAACCTCCACCAGAGACCTTGGCTCCAGTGGGTCAACTTCGTCAGTGCCAGTTGAGTTCCTACATCATATTTCTATGGCTCACAGCAAACAGACGGCTCACAACTAATGCCATGTAACACCAACTCCATGGGATCCAACGAACCATTTTGGACTTCATGAGCACCCACACATGGGTGCACATTAAAACACATACACACACACACACACACACACACACACACACACACACACACACACACACAATAATACAATAATTTTTTAAATTTTTAAAAGAATAATAATTCACATTCCTCTCTACTACTCACCCATCTCCCAGAATTATCTATCTCATCAAAATCCACAGTGTCACTTGAGGCTTAAAAGGCTGTGTGCTTGTCCCCAGGGTATCCCTGACAGTTTCTTTCCTCAGGTCACCTGTCTTCCCTTCTGGATCAAGTTTCTGTGCCTCTCTCTGCCAGACTGTGACCAGAGCTGTTAGCCTGGCTTCTCAGTGCCTCCCATCTTCTCCTCTGGACTCTGCAGGTGGGCTGCCTCTGCCTGTGGGAATCTCTGAAGCTCTCCCTCTCTCTCTGTCACTTGGAACACAGTATTTTCCTTATTCTAACTCCTGCACTTCACTGGTCACAGGTAGGCAGCTTTCCCCCAACCTTCTTACACACAGTTTTCTCTAGTTTCATTTGACAAGAGATAATTACAAGTTTTGACCTCCCTTTCTGCCATGTTGACTTAATTGGGAGTTTAGAAATAACTTAGAAACCAAACAAATTGGATAATTACAAGAGAAATCAAGGTTCTTAAATGTGCATAACCAATGTAACACACTGGGGTTATTTGTAAATAAGAGAAAATGTTGAAATATCAATAGCTAAGTATAAATGTCTAGGTAACCCATGTCTCCTTACTGGTGCAGTTAGGATGCTCTGAGAAACAAGCCATGACAGGACAGTCTCTGTGTCCGGCATCAAATCTGTACTGACAAAGTCTCCATAACTGAGGGTCTCAACTTGGCTTCTCTGGAGGACAAGTTACCTGGACAGTGGCCAACGGTGTTGTTGTTTTGGTCAGATAATGTCATATCCAAAGGGAAAATAGAGAATAGAATATCTCAGTATTAATTTTCCTTCTGAGAAATGTTATGATGTCTTTTCTGTGCTGGATGTCTCAATATTCGATCTGTGCAACATGCATAGCTATTGTCATTTTAGTATAAACACATTGTGGTGCCACCAAGTGTCTCCTGAATCTTCAGTAAGTTTCAGATCCTTTAGTAAGTCTGAAAGGGAGAATAAATATTTAGTATAGAGGATATTCTCTTCTATTGATCATCTATTAATGCTTAAATGAATGCTTAATTTCCACAGTAAACAAACTAAAAGAGTAAAATTCATAACTTTGAATTATATCATTGGGTATGCTCTTATCTATTGTCACT